TCTATCTAGTCTTTCTAATATTTGAAACAAGACATCTTCTACTGGTAATATTCTTCCTTGATCTATTATATTCATTTTGGCCTTCTTTTCCTTTGCTATCACTGCCTCTTTCTATATCTTGTAACTGCGGGTTGTTTTCTATTTCTCCATATCTCTTAATAAGTGTTTTATGTCTTGTACCTCTGACTCTTGATGCCTCTTGTCTTCTGTAATTCAACTGTCTCTCATTGCTTGACTTTGATCTTTTTTGTTTTCTGTCTCTTGACTCTTCTCTTTTCTGGATTTTTCTTCTTTTAGGATTTTCCCATCTTACTTGATGTTTGTTATACCATATTGGTGTTGTTTGAGCTGCCTCTGCTTCTTAAGCATTTGCAAAAGTAATTATTGTAAACTTTTTCTGATTTCCATTTCTGTTAAATGGTATATATACCGCCTTTGCTCCCTTATTTTTTAGACATCTTAATAGAAGTACTTCTGATACTTCTTTAGTAGAGTTTAGGGTAGAGATTATACCTGGGTCGGGTATTACCCGAGTTACTCACGGTTAACTGGTTAACTAGGTAATAACTAAAGCTATCCGGGTAGATTCACTCGAGTAATACCCAAGTAAATTCACCCGAGTAATACTTGTGTAGTTTCACAATCGGAGTAAAATTATCACCTAAAAAAATTTCAACTAGCCAATTAAATTGCAAGAGCAATTTCATTAGCCTACCCAGGTAGAATTTTCCATTATAGAATTATAATAAATCATCTGGATAACCAGATAATTTAATAATACCCGAGCAAAGATTTTTTATAGCTTTTTTCATTATTTCTAGAACATCTGATAAAATTGCTGAATGATTTTTCAGCTGATTCGATTAAATTTTGTGATTTAGAGTGTTCAGATGACTCATCAGATCACCGAAATCACAAACTTAATCGAATCAGCCGAAAATCATTTAGCAATTTTATCAGATGTCCCAGGAATAGTGAAAACAGCTGTAACAGATATAATCACTACTTCGAAATAATCTGAAATTTTTTTTAAGTGGTGATTTTCTCTAGTTTAGTTTTTCCCAAGTAATATCTGGGTTTACTATCTTGGTAGCTCACCTACAAAAATTGTGCCTCCCTGTAATTTTTTAATTTTTTACATTACGCTGTAGTTAGGTTAGAGTTAGGATTAAAATAACTTAGCGCCTAAGAGTAAAATTTCACGAGAAGCATTTTTAATTAGGATGCAGAAAGTGGTTTTTTTAAATTAAATTTAGAGTTATTTCTGTTTTTTTTTTTTTTGTTTCGCTTCGATTATTTATGTTCACCTGATCTTGAAGTTTGATTGGTCACAGAAACAATTTTTGTAGGTGGGTTAATAATACTCAGCTAGGTGTATCCAAATAATACCCGGATAATCAGATATCCAAGTAATAAATTGTAAGTAATAGGTATCATCATTTTTATATACCATAACTTTATTACTTGTTATATGTTGCTGAACAGATTTATAATATGAATTTGTTTAATGTTTCGCTATAAAGAAGTAAAATTTTAATTGTACTAACATGTAATTTCAAAAAAACGTTATTGATTATGCAAAAGTCTCAAGAGCACTTAGGAGTGAAGTGTCACTGCTAGTCATAATTGCACATTAATTAGTCACTTTTCTTAGTCGAGTTTACATATATAACACTGTATAAAATTATTTATAATTTCTAAACCTTAAATATATTTCATAGTTATAGCATTGAAACAATATCTGAGCCAAAATTACACCCCACTGAAAAATAGAGCATTGGGTGTTAGAGGATAGTATGAAAGACATATTAAAGTAGCAATAATTAAATAACATAGTTTGAAGTGATATATAAT